TAATTGGAAGTCTTTGATAGCAAATTGCTTAATTAAAAATACATATCTTTTCAAACTTGCTTTCACTGGACAAGATGACAAGTATCATTTTTAACCATCTGCCTTCCTTCACTAAAACGATCAATCCAATCATTAATTGAATTTATAGGAACTCATTTATCTCAATAAACTGTGTACAAATTATTATTTGAAACTGCAGTCATTTATATACAATAAATTGTACAATCGTTTGTTGAAAGTTGTTTTTCGTCACAAGTGACCTACATAGTGACGTCATTTTCACATTGTGATGTCACAAACAAGGAAAAAAATTTTATTCAGCATATGCTATTTATAGACCTTGTGTATGACTATTTGTGTACCGAATTTCATTCTAATCTGAATTGTGGTTTTGTAGATATAGAGATAGTTCGCGAACTTTGTTATCACCCCTCGTATATGTTAAAAATTGTTTCCACATTGTATTTGGTTCGTTTTTAAGCCAAAAGCCATGAAATTCACAAATTTTGAAAGAGGCACCATTGCTTATCAAAGGGCAGATTTCAAAGCATTAATTTATTTTATTAGTCAAAGTATTTTTCGTCAGCAGCCCTGAAATTATCTATTTTGAAAGAGGCCCCTTTCTTCATTATTTAAAGGCCAGCATTTTTTTTTATGTTTAGGTTTAGTTATGAACCTTCAAAAAGTCCCATTGTGATTTTTTTTTTTGATAAATCAATTATTAACATTTGTACAAAACCTAATAGGCTCCTTACCACTGGAAACATAATGCTTACAAATAGGAAAGTAGAACATTTAATTGCTTATTTCATCATCTGTCAGTTTGGGCCAGTTATATAAATTTTGTGATGTTGATCAAAAAATATTTTAAAAAATCAATTCTTTAAAAGTCTTTCAATATATATTTTTTTAATATGTGTTAGGTGAATGTGTAGACATTGTTCTAAAATTTATTTGCCTAAAATTATAATTCCTATCATAAAACAGACAGGGAGTATTGGGGAGTAGGGTCAACATTTTTTCAATTAAGTGTAAAATAATTTTTCTGGCTGATACAAATGATACTACCTGCCTGTTTATAGTTGTATATTCTTGCCTTTTAATAGGAAATTTTTTTTAATTTCTAGATTGTTTATTTCTTCCTCAAATGGACTTCACTTCTCCCATAGTTTTATTCATTACATCTGATGCATAAGCAACCCTTTTCTGAAGAATGGTGCTTAGACTGTAAGCTATAACAGAGACCTAAACAATGTCCCTGGTAATATGCAATAGCTACCACGGGCAGTTTAAAACCTGGGGAGGAAAATAATTTACAGTTACTTTTGAAAATTAAATACCAGCATTTTGTGCCACATTTTACTTGTCCTTTGAACGTAATTTTTTCTTATCGATGAATTTTACACTAAACCAAGATATCTTCTCAGATCTTATATTTACCCACCGTTTCATTGCAAAACCGGAAGTGCGAGTTCATAAATTTGAAATCTCTACCAAATTTGACATCGGAAAGAAAAAAATTGTTTTATTTTTTTCTGAAAATTCAAAACCTTGAGCGGGGGGTCTGAAAATAAAATAAATCCTGGCCTTAAATATGTAATTAGATCATTAGCATATTAACCAGGAGCAAAGGATAAGATGTTCAAATTCATGCATTTCACTATATAATCATTAGAGCCCCACTCTAAAACAAGAACCCCTGACCCTGGGGCCATAAAATTCACAATTTTGGTAGAGGCACTCTTGCTTATCATAACTATGTACTTAATTAGTTTATTTGAAATTTTTCAAAGAATTCATGTATTTTCACTATATAATCAATAGAGCCCCGCCCTAACACCAGAACCCCTGACCCTGGGGCCATAAAATTCACAATTTTGGTAGAGGCACTATTGCTCATCATAACTATGTACTTAGTTGTTTTATTTAATACCCAAGAGAAGAAGATTTTCAAAGAAATAATGCATTTTCACTAACTTTTATTTAGCCCCACCCTAGCACTAGAACCTCTGATTTGAATTTCATAATTTTGGTAGAGGACTCATTGCTGATTACAATCATGCTGCTTGATGTCCAAGTAAAGAAGAAGATTTTTAAAGATTGCATTAATTTTAGTGGTTTTGGCCCCAATTTCACAATTTTTGTTCCCCTTCACCCATAGATGCTTTGTGTCAAATTTGGTTGAAATTGGTTCAGTGGTTGCAGAGAAGAAGCTGAAAATGTTCAAATGTTAACGCACGACGAACGACGACGGACGAAAACAGATAGCAATAGGTCACCTGAGTTTACTCAGGTGACCTAAAAATTAAATATTCTGTCCACATTGGAGTAATTTTTTTCACATGACTCACTTGTAAAACGTACACCTACCCTAGGGGTCATGATTTGAACAGATCTAAATCTAAAATCTGTTCTTTAGAGAAAGAGATATATTTCTACCAGGTATATGAAATTTTGATTGTGGCCTCCAATCCCCAGCAAAACCCCCTTTGTATGATTTGATCAAACTTGAATGTAAATTTCACTACGGATTGAATCTTATTCACATAAATTTGAGTGGCTTAATTGTTGAGAAAGATGTTTAAGACAACTAAAAGTTAATAAAAATTGAATAAAATTTACAAAAAATGTATATTAGCAATTATATTTTTTAAATCCCAAAGCATCAAAATTTATTTTTGTCCCTAAGGGATGAAAAATAGGAGAAAACTCTTCAAGCATAATATAGGAACCACCAGGAAACTCAAGCAGTGAGATGAAGATTCTACGACTCGGGCCAATTGCAGTCCTGGGCCTGTAGACTCCTAGATGGAAGCTGTGTTAGATGCCTCACACTAACAAGAAGCCCATGGGCCACATTTCTCACCTGAGTAACTTTGGCCAATTGCTTTTCTTTACTATATTCCACCTTGTAATACCTGTTATGACCCCACCCTACCCCTGGTGTCATGATTTTAAGAATTTAGAATCTACATTGTTCCAGATTGCTTCAACATACTTTTCAAAAAGATTTTTTCAATAAAATTAGATTCAAAACTTTGATTCTCTATTGTGGCCATGTCTACACCATGATTTGAAGAATTTAGAATCCACACTATCCCAGCATGCTTTCAGGTAATATAAGCTTCAGCTTTTCTGGCCCAGTAGTTCTAAAGAAGATTTTAAAAGATATTTCCTATGTATTTCAATGTGAAACTTTGATTCCCTATTGTCACCCTGTCATACCCCTGGGGGTCATGATAAAAAAATTGAACAATTTAGAATCTACACTACCACAGGATGCTTCCACATAAGTTTCAGTTTTTCCAGTGGTTTTTGAGGAGAAGATTTTTTAATGACCCCACCTATTTTGTCATTTCTCTGTTATCTCCCCCTTGCAATGGAACTTGGCCCTTCATTTTTATAACTCAAACTCCCATTTACCCATGAATCCTTTGTAATAAGTTTGGTTAAAATTGGCTAAAAGCTCAGGTGAGATGAAAATTATACCAAGTCCTTCACCAAGAAAGGACTGCTAAGTGGAGGAATATTTCTTTTAAAGAAAACTTAATACAAAAGTTTCCAAACTGTAATGACCATTTACTGGACTGGAATCAGCATCAGGAGAAAAACCTGGCATGGATCTTTTCCATCAGATGTAAGGAGTGTCAATATACCATTCACCGAGAAAAGCTATACAAAGAGGTGAGAAGATCTGGTAGGGGTCACAGAGTACGTTGCACAGCTAAATGTGACCATGGCTGTTGGTCACTTGGGTACCACAAGTAGAGGGTAGGCATGGCTTATTGGTGCTAATGTTAAAACAGCATCATTGGCAAACAGGCAACAGACCTGTAACAAAGTAGGGAAAATTATCACAGACATGAACAAAACTATAATGAAAAAAATAATGCAGAACATGCAAGAACTTAATCAACATGATGTGTTTGTGAAACACTTGTGCCCTAGTATGGCAACATAGCGAAGGTTAAAACTTTCTAGATAAAATAAAAATCAAATATGTTTGTACCCAAAGTAAGTCCTTCTAAAAAGAAATACAATGTGAAATATTAATGCCCTAGCACAGCCTGTTTTTAAAAGGTTGGTCAAACCTTTTAAAAGGGTCAAGGTCGAAGTTGTTGGCCATGGGTTTTTAAAGAAAGGACTTGTTACAAGGATTACATTATGTTAAGTTTGAAAGCCGTACTGTAGCCCAAATTCTTAAAAAGTTATGGCCAAGGTTAAAGTTTTTTAAAAGTAGGTCAAACTCCAGGGTCAAGGTCAAAGTTGTTGGTTTTTAAAGAAAAGTCTCATCACAAGGATTACATAATTGTTAAGTATAAAAGCCAACCATAACCCCTCAAAAGTTATGTCAAAAGTTATTTTTTTTTTAAAAAATAGGTCAAACTCCAAGGTCAAGGTTAAAACATCAAATTTGTTGGTATTGAACAGAAGGACTTATCACAAAGAATACATATGTAAAGTATGAAAGTCCTAGGACCAACTGTTCAAAAGTTACAGCTAAAGTAAAAGTTTGGTATTTTTGTGTAAAAGTGTGTCAAACTCTGAGGTCAAGGTCAAATCTGGTTGTACGCAAAAAAAAGGTCTTGTCACAACGAATACACCTGTGAAATATGAAAACCATAGTCCCACACAGTCAAAAGACTTATAGGCAAGGTTAGATTTTTTGTGGACAAACAGACAGCTAGGCAGACGGACGGATGGACAAAGCAACAAGAGGCCCAGGGGCCACATCGCTCACCTGAGCAAATCGTAGGAAAAAACACAAATCAGATCAGAACTGAAAAGTTTATTAAAGGTGGGGGGGGGGACTTGAATTTAATACTACTTAAGAATGCTTTCATATTATTACAGCATATGACTTAGCTGTTCTTGATAAAAAGATTCTTTAAAAACATTTTCTTCCTATACTATCACTAATCATTGCTTTGAAGTACTTGAGAAGATTTTTATAAAGATTTTTCCTTTATATTCCTATGTAAAACTTTGATAAGCCATTGTGGCCCCACCCTACCCCTGGGGGTCATGATTTGAACAAATTTGAATCTACACTATCTGAGGATGCTTCCACATGAGTTTCATCTTTCCTGGACCAGTGGTTTTTGAGATGAAGATTTTTAAAGATTTTCCCTATATATTCCTATGTAAAACTTTGATCAGCCATTGTGGCTCCGCCCTACCCCTAGGGGTCATGATTTGAACAAACTGGAATCTACACTATTTGAGGATGCTTCCACATGAGTTTCATCTTTCCTGGACCAGTGGTTCTTGAGAAGAAGATTTTTAAAGATTTTCCCTATATACTCCTATGTAAAAGTTTGATCGGCCATTGTGGCCCCACCCTACCCCCAGGGGTCATGATTTGAATAAACTTGAATCTACACTACCTGAGGATGCTTCCACATGAGTTTCATCTTTCCTGGACCAGTGGTTCTTGACAAAAAGAGTTTTAAAGATTTTCTCTATATACTCCTATGTAAAACTTTGATCAGCCATTGTGGCCCCCCCTACCCTCGAGGGTCATGAATTGAACAAACTTGAATCTACACTACTGAGGATGCTTCCACATGAGTTTCATCTTTCCTGGACCAGTGGTTCTTGACAAAAAGAGTTTTAAAGATTTTCCCTATATATTCCTATGTAAAACTTTGATCGGCCATTGTGGCCCCACCCTACCCCTAGGGGTCATGATTTGAACAAACTTGAATCTACACTACCTGAGGATGCTTCCACATGAGTTTCATCTTTCTTGGCCCAGTGGTTCTTGAGAAGAAGATTTTTTTAAAATGCCATTAATTTTTCACTTATTCATAATTATCTCCCCTTGGAAGAGGGTGTGGCCCTTCATTTGAACAAACTTGAATTCCCTTCACCTAAGGATACTTTATGCCAAGTTTGGTTGAAATTGGCCCAGTGGTTCTTGAGAAGAAGTCGAAAATGTGAAAAGTTAACGACAACGACGACAACAACAACGCCAACGACGACAGACAACGGACAAATTTTGATCAGAAAAGCTCACTTGAGCCTTCGGCTTAGGTGAGCTAAAAACTATAAACCCCCGTATCTTCAATTAGGAGGGCATAAAAATGTTTACCTTATGTTACCTCCCTCAGAGCAGAGAAAGATGCCTGTGGGCTACTTGATACTCTCCCCCATCAGAGCGTAAGGATATGATTGGTACATTAATGCCACTTTCAGTGCCATTTAGGAAACTCCATTCCAAGCTTCCACCCAAGTGACTTATACCATAATTGAAAATTTAACTCAGAGGAAAAATGTTGTGTCAATGTTTTGTGGGAGAAAGGCGCACACCTGAGAAACAAAGAAAAGAAAGTTACCTGCTCAGGACACCAAGACTGCACTGCAACATGATTCCTCCAGAGACTACTGTTGGAGATCAAGAGAATTAGGCCTCAAAATGACCGTCAATGTCCACTAGTTATTTTCCATTTCACTAGTGATGGAGACAGTGCCGCTGCATCTTGTGCATCTGAAAAACAAGGACACGTGATTGAAAACCTTAAAGACTTTCTTTGACTCTAAAAAAAAAACAGACTGCTATTATTATAGGCTCCATTCAGCAGTATAACACATTTCCGGGAAGAACCAAAGCCATTAGAGAATCCATGCAGAGAAGATTTGCTTTGGACCTAAAGCTTCAATACAGGACAGACTATGGACGATGATAATTGCTACAACACTACTCAGGAGACTTACCTCTGATGACGTGGGCTATGTCTGTAGCTGTTGGCTCTATTGTAAGCTGCAGCTTCCAAGGACAATGCGGAAAGTTATGTCAACTTTATTCTTTTTTCTGTTATGGACTGAAAGCAATAAGTGGAAACCTTTCGTATTTTTGAATGACTTTGAATTAAACATTACAGAAGAAGACAAATGTCTGTCAAAATACTGTATAAATTTGACTTTAGGACCATGTAAGCTCGATAGAATTAACCATTTCTTGTTCATAAAAATTTCTACATCTGTGAATAGGGCATATTTAAAATCAAATCTAAAAAGTAAAATATATAAAGTTGTTCACTTACTGAATAGAGGGTCATGGAAACTCAACACTGGAACTTTGTGAATCTGTAGGGGCACCTGTTGTAAAAGAAAGTAGAGTGGTCCATCATCTAAAACAACAACAACAAATAGGCAATATTACCTATATATAAAATATATATATAAAAACTATTCAAATATAAATCTCAAAGAAAATAATAGATCTAAAAGATATCAGCTGTACAATAAAATATCTAAAGACAATTACAGTAAAAAATCATTAACAGATCCAAAATCAATAAGAGATGTTTGTAAAACATTTATGCCCCCTCTCGGCCAAATAATTGGAATCTTTCTAAGTCATAAGTTACAATTGGGCATAACTCTGTCCAAATGGCCCGATCGTACCCAAAATCAAATTTGACCTAAATATTCTTATGATAAATCTGTATACCAAATTTCATTTCAATATGTGCAACCTCTGTGAAGAAAATGAACGGAAACTGATAGTGGACTGACAGACCGACCAACCGACCGACGACAGACTTATACTGACAGACAGAACCAAAGCAAATTATATATGCCCTCACTTCTTCAAAGGGGGGCATAAAAAACAATTTGGAAGACTGTGAAGGTAAGGGGGATGATGCTGTGTATTTAATTTAAATATATGAAATTTGAATTTAACACATATTTTTCAATTTTTTAGCTTATAAACTTTCTTGAATAAATTGTTGCTATGGTATGCATGCAATGATTCTATTCAACTGTGTATAAAAGGAAGGTATGTAATAAATGATTAATAATATTGTATGAGTAAAATGTGGCATTTTCTGTATACAGGGGATATCCTGTACACGTAAATATTTTGTTTTTTAAACAATTACAAAATTATTTTGATTTTTTTTACCTGTCTGATGAACACAACAAAGGTTAAAGAGGTAATTAGTAGAAATACGGGTACAGGTACAGGTGTCAAAACTTTGATCAAGTGATCAAGCAAAAAAATGACACTCACTGCTCAATGGTCAAGATTTGATTGTCAACGCATTTTACTAATAGCTTAAAAAATTAAACAAGAGGCCCAGGGGCCACAGTGCTCACCTGAGCACACCGGCTAGGAAAAAGCAAATATCAGATCAGAAATAAAAATTTACTGATGTTAGAGGGGGGGGCTTAATTCTAAACCCCCCAGGGGGCCATGATTTGAACAAACTAGAATCTACACTACCTGAGGATGATTCCATATAAATATTACTAATCATGGTTTTGAAATACTTGAAAAGGAGATTTTAAAAGATTTCCCTATATATTCTTATGAAAAACTTTGATCGACCATTTTGGCCCCACCCTACCCCCGGGGGGCATGATTTGAACAAATATGAATCTACAATACCTGACGATGATTCCACATGAGTTTCATCTTTCCTGGCCCAGTGGTTCTTGAGAAGAAGTTTTTAAAGATTTTTACCTATATATTCCTGTATAAAACTTTTAACGGCCATTATGGCCCCACCCTAGCCCTGGGGAATGGGATCAGAATTTGAACAAATTTGAATCTACACTACCAGAGGATGATTTCACATGAGTTTTATCCTTCCTGTCTCAATGGTTCTTGAGAAGAAAATTTTTAAAGATTTTTCCTATATATTCCCTTGTAAATCTTTGATCGGCCATTTTGGCCCCACCCTACCCCAGAGGGTCATGATTTGAACAAACTTGAATTTACACTACCTGAGGATGATTCCACATAACTTTCATCTTTCCTGACCCAGCGGTTTTTGAGAAGAAGATTTTGAAAATTTTTTTACTATATATTCCTATGTAAAATTTTTAACTGCCATTATCGCCCCACCCTATCCCCAGGGATCATGATTTGAACAAATTTGAATCTACACTACTTGAGGATGATTTCACATGACTTTTATATTTCCTGTCTCATTGGTTCTTGAGAAGAAGATTTTTAAAGATTTTCCCTATATACTCCTATGTAAAACTTTGATCGACCATTTTGGCCCCACCCTACCCCCGGGGGTCATGATTTGAACAAACTTTAATCTAAACTACCTGAGGATGATTCAACATGAGTTTCATCTTTCCTGGCCCAGTGGTTCTTGAGAAGATTTTAAAGATTTTTTCTATATATTCCCATGTAAAACTTTGATCGGCCATTTTGGCCCCACCCTACCCCCGGGGGTCATGATTTGAACAAACTTTAATCTACACTACCTGAGGATGATTCCACATGAGTTTCATCTTTCCTGGCCCAGTGGTTCGTGAGAAGAAGATTTTTTAAAAAATGCCATTAATTTTTCTCTAATTCATAATTATCTCCCCTTGAAAGAGGGCATGGCCCTTCATTTGAAAAAAACTTGAATCCCCTTCACCCAAGGATACTTTGTGCCAAGTTTGGTTGAAATTGGCCCAGTGGTTTTTGAGAAGAAGATGAAAATGTGAAAAGTTTACGATGACAACAACGACAACGACTACGACAACAACGACAGACAACGGACAAATTTTGATCAGAAAAGCGCACTTGAGCCTTCGGCTCAGGTGAGCTAATAAAAATAACACATTTATGCACTTCATACCTGAAAATCAATTTGGTCTCTTTGAAGGTTTTCTTAAGTACTGGAGCTGCAATCATCAGTTCAAACTTCCAGTCCTCCAACATATAATTCAGAATCCACAGGAATTCATTGCAGTTTCAGTGATGGACATTTATTAATTTTATACCTCTCAAGGTCAATTCCTTTGGAGTCATTAAATCATTGCTTTGCTGTGAATCCTTTAAGCCTATTTAATCAGAGAACACATACCTGTAAAATATGTACAATACTGACTATAATCATCCTTACAGACTGGAATGTCCAGCTAGAATCACCAATGAAATGTCACATCCATCACTTGAATATTTATCCAATCAGATTAAAGCACTGTCCAGCTAGAATCACCACTGTTATGTCACATCCATCACTTGAATGTTTATCCAATCAGATTAAAGCACTGTCCAGCTAGAATCACCAATGAAATGTCACATCCATCACTTGAATGTTTATCCAATCAGATTAAAGCACTCTCCAGCTAGAATCACCACTGTTATGTCACATCCATCACTTGAATGTTTATCCAATCAGATTAAAACACTCTCCAGCTAGAATCACCAATGAAATGTCACATCCATCACTTGAATGTTTAACCAATCAGATTAAAGCACTATCCAGCTAGAATTACCACAAATGGAAAGTGGAAAGTCTGCAGGCTGGTCACAACCTAGGAGTGTAAAAATCTCTACAAGCAAGTTTTCATGTACACTCCAAAAACAGCAGATGAGCAGGTAAACTTCACTGCTGTGTACCACTCTGTAGTCTATTGGTCCTTGTGTAGCAGCGGGGATTCTATTGGATATCCCGGCAGTTAGAGGTCTGAAATAGTTTGTGAAGGACCAAATTATCAAGTTAATGGAAGACTTATTCCGAAAGTCTGAATCAGTGAATAAGGCAAATTAATAATCAAATCCAAAAATAACTGCACTACATATACATTGTATTAGAAAATTTAAAAGAAGAAGACATAAAGTTGCACATGCACTTACTGAATATTGGGTACATAGAGCTTTCTCATTGTGAATCTGTTGGAGCCTTCGTTGTGAAGGGCATAATAGATATCTTCATCTAAAACAACAACAAAATTATAAAAGAAACGATCATTATGTTTGTACATGATAATTTAATGCATAAAAAGTTAAGTTGTTAATTGTAAATAGTGGGGCATAGATGCTATATAGGCAATTTACATGACTCTATGAAATTTTAATCTAATACACATTAGATAACAGGTATTAATTGCTAGCTAATTTAAATGGCAATACGTTTTTTCAATTGCCCCCATGGGGATGATTTATACAATATATCATTGTGGAAGTAAAATATGACATTTTCTTAAAACAGGAAGTCTAAATATCTTCTTCTTTTCTTACTACTATGAAGTCACAAATTTTCTTGGGGGTTTAATTTTCATCATTTTTGAGGTATAAAGAGACCCATGAATTCATGTCCACCACGAAATGTAAAATGTTACATGCATGACTACTCAACAATTCTTTATTCACAAATTCAAATCCCAACGAACCAAGAGTTTTTACTAAAACCACAAAAATTTGACCCCACAAAAATATTTGATTTTACAGTACATGTTTATTAAAATGATTTCAAAATTTTTTTTACCTGTCTGATGAACACAGCAAAGGTTACAGAGGTGATTGGTAGAAATATTGGTATACAGGTGTTCAAACTCTCTGCTGATGGTCTTGCAGATGTATCTCCACCATAGTTCAAATTTTGAACAGGGGAGATTACTCCTAAGATCATAAAATGATAAATAATGCTTGGACATAAACTTGAGATCAGAGAAGAAAAGAATATGCCTCAATCATGTGGCTTTTAAGAGAGAAAATTTGGGAATAATTTACATACACCTACCTAAAAATACCATTTGGATCCAAGTTGACACTTTACAGTTGAAACAGTCCATCATGAAAGTTGAAAAAGAAATTAAAAAGAAATATAATTATCAAAAGAAATTGTCAGTATACCTGTAATTTGCCCTACAATTGACAAAGATAATTTTGCTTGGCTTTTTCTTTAAATTAGACATCAAAAGCAATATTTAAATAATTTCAATTTGACATGTTATACTTACATACATGCAGTTTATTACTCGTCCATCACTGTAGAGCTAAGGATCTGTTGCTAAAGAAATGGACTGTGAGTCACTGAATGAAAACTTGATACTTACAGTAAACCAACTTTTCTTTTCGTGTGAGAAATTTTCGCGAGGTTCCTCATCGGGAATATTTCTCACCGCAAACTGGTACTTAAAGTCTCTGTGTTTATTAACATCAGATTCAAAAAGGCTTGATCATGAAAATTACTAGTAGCAACTAGTTAACCCCCTGATAAATCGCGAAATAAGGCCATCACAAATTAAAGTTGGTTTACAGTACATGTATTAAATTGCAGCCTCTTGACCCCATGAGATTACTAAAGGTCATTTGAGGATTTTTTCATAGATATTGGTTGGAAAACCAAAGTGTAAATCTTAAAGTGACCTTGACCTTTACATCAATTTTCTTTCCTCTACATTGTAAGCAATGACAGTTCTAAAGGGGATTGGAAAAAACACAATAGTGCCTTGTCGAGTTATCACAAGTTCGAATCTCACCGTGGGACTTGGAAATGAGTTGTTCTAATTTTGAAGTATAACCAGAGATTCTGCATCTCATTCAGCGTTGCAAACCACAGCCAAAATGTACGATTCTGTCCCATTCTGGCCATGGTTATATGAGTAGAGAATATTTCGTAGCTCATTAAATTATTGACCAATGCAAGTATAGCATACTCAGAAAATGAAATTTGACATGACCTTTCAATACCCAATCACAGTTTATGAACTTATGCATTAGCAACCACGGGTAGAAGAGAGCTACAGCTGTATAAGCGGACCCCGATCCATGGCCTGAGATAATGGGTTGCACTGTTTATCTACCAGTGTGTTACTTGATGACCTGCCAGTCAGACATGCACAATCATTATAATATGCTGTTCCAATTATGGCCTTCTTTACTTTAAATTATTATATTTATGCACCCGGATCAATAGATTGTTTTTGTCCTCTCTGTCTGTCTGTTTGACTGTCTGTTGTAAACTTTAACCAGGGCCTGTACGAAATGTTCCGCCTGGAATATAGGGGGAATTGAGGCGTACTTGGAGAGGCGTCAATTTGTCTCTCTACATATATGGTGATACACAGGTTCCGGGCGTAACTTAGGCGGAAACCAAGCGTAAATGGGCAGGAATTTGAGGCGAAAAATGCAAATGAGCTACGCCCGGAAAAATAAATGACGCCCGTAAAAAAATTACGCCTGGAAACTAAAATGACGCCTGGAATAGAATTACGCCTGGAATGTCCTTATTATTATATAATACTATGTGACCTAAAAACCTATATATTTACCATGTTAACAAAGAAAAACATTCAGATTATGATTTACAATGTTAAAGCTAAAAATTTTGCTTTTTGAACTGTAAGAAAACATAATGACAGGTCATTAACATATATCATTAACAAGTATAGAAAAATAACATGAATTTTGTGTATTACACTAAAACACGACCACCATGATTGAGTGTGTATTTAGAATTAAACTTTTTTACAATACCTGTACATTTTTTCACTTCAATAATTATATTGAAATATTTTAGTTACTGACTGAATACAATTCTTCATTTACTCAGCAGTTTACAGTTAGATTCTCACTGCAGCCTCTATCAGACTGATATTTCTCAGAATGTGTGCAAGGACAAACTCAAATATCTAAAGTAATTTTAGGGTCAACCAGTTATAACTATCATTGTACATAATCATAATCAAATTTACTCAAATAGGTACTAGATATTCATGATCACACCTACCAGCAGACACTGTGTCATCCTCAAGAAGTGTAAAAGCCTTAACATTGAGATATCTGCATTTCCTGTTTCACTCATTCTAAACTCCCTCCTTCATGATCAAATTCAAACTTAACCTCCTATCTGAAATGACCCTTAATTGATAATTAAATTGACCAATCAGAGGCTTTTACTTCTCCTGAAAGTTCCAGGCGTAATTTTTGTTTCTATTTTCCTGCCATTTTACGCCCGGAAAATCTGAACTTGCCAATTGACGCCCGGAAATTACAAATGACGCCTGTAAGACGTCTCTTCTACTGAGGCGTAACTCTTTGAAAATTCCGTCTCCGCCTCAAGTACGCCCGGAATTTGCCAATTCCTGCTCAATTCCACCCAAATTCCAGGCGGAATCTGCCTTTAAAATTCATACAGGAACCAGTTCACCATAACATTTGAACCATGAAAGATAGAGACTTCATATTTGGTACATACTCCACTAATTAAGTTCTTTCAAATGACTTCAAGGTCAATGACCTTGTTACCTTGACTTGTGACCTATATGTTAAAAATAGCTTTTTCGAACTTAAACCATAACCTTTGAACCATAGGGGATAGAGACTTAATATTTGGTATGCATTCTCTACTAATTAAGTTATTTCAAATGACAAGGTCAATGAGCTTGTGACCTTGACCTATATGCTATTAATAGCTTTTTCAAACTTTGCCGTCACCGGGTGCATAGTGTTTCACAAACATATCTTGTTTCAAGACTATTTTTCTACAATTGTGGGATCATATGCAAGAAGTTTGAATCACAAAATAATCTTTTTGGTCAAAGCAGGTGTGTTCAACATGCTAGTTAACCATCTTAATCATCATCGAATATAACTGAAAGTAGATGTTTAACAGGGACGTAAGATATATACCACTAGACATTCTAATTATGTCACAGATAGAAACCTGCCCCCCTGTACTTCTATTGTCATCTTGTATATAGAGTCCCCATCAGCTTTAAGGGAATCACCGGGCCCTGTGTAACACTTACTTTATTATTGTTCAGAAACCTTATTTTTTGAGGCTCCCAAGATCAACACCTTAAATTAACTATCTAACAGACCTTATCTATAAAGTTCAGCGATTGAAAATGCTTCTTTTTGACCCTGAAGCCTTCCCACTAGGCTATGTTATCAACTTGCTCATATCTGGTAACATTATATACTAGGACACCCTCCCTTAAGGACGCTCTAAACACTGCACAATAAAGAGCTTTATTTATTGGGTAGTTTTATGCAGTTAGAGTGATCTGCCCTTAGATGTAAGATTACAGAAATCGTTATTTACCGTTAATTATATCATGTATAATTGATGAAAACATTTTTAGCTTTATATAAGACCAAGAGTAAGACATTTAATTAATTATTTTCATCAATTTTCCCACTGTAAATATACAACAATGATTTCTGCTCACAAATAGTCCATTGTCTTTGAAAATTTTTCCTGCACAAATAAGGCTCGTACCCTATGTTCTAAATGAATGAAAAAGTCTCAATATGCATATCTTTATACGATATATTTTTCTCAGAGTCCAAAAAACAGTTTCTGTTGGTGTTTAGAGCTTCCTTAAGGTGTATTGAACAGTTTAAGAGCAAAATATACCTTGTGATAGGCATTTTAACAAAATACTTTCTTTTTTTTAACTTAATTAATGCTACCCAGTACTTTTCAATAATTTTTTTCTTGTTAATTTCTAAAAGATATCAATATTCATGGATTCAACATCAGTACATCTCCAAAGTTGGCCTCATCTGTTTTTAGCATGTCAATAAATACATCTTTTCCTAGGGTCATTTCAAAAAGAACTTTTTCGTCTTACTCTTACCGGTAATTTATTGCTCTCTATCGATCAAGAGGAAATGAAGGAATAGTTATTATTTGGTTTCAAAACCGATACATGTATATGTATAATTTTTTTTGCAAATCTTGATAGATGCACCTCTTCCTTAACCCTTTTAATCATGTCAATAAGTGTTCCTTCCACAGGCATTTAAACAAAATACCCTTCCATCTGTATTAATCATTATCAATAAGAGTATACATTTATTGACTGAGTTCGAGGGCAACATGCATTTTGTCGGACCCAAGAACCAAAATGTCTGCCTGAGGCCGTTGGGCCGAAGGCCGACAGTTTGGTTCGAGGGGCCGACAAAATGCATTTTGTCCGAGAACTCTGTCAATAAATGTTTTGTTATACCTTTCATTTTATTTTATATTTTTTGACATACATGTATTTTGTACTATATTCCGTAATGTAACATTAGATCTGTCACTGTTTAAAACCAAAGAATGAAAATGAGATTAAGCTCCGCCCATTCTGTGACGTAAGCGGTCCAACATCTCTCCGAGCGGTCCAACATCTCACTCAGTGGTCCAACATCGATTTTTTTTTATGCCCGCTCAGCAAAACATTAAAAATTAGGGCTGCCACGGTTCAGACATTTTTCGGTTCGGTTCGGTTCAGAAAATAAATTTTCGGTTTTCGGTTTTTTCGGTTCGGTTTTCATTTTGAGAATTTAAATAAAACATCTTTATATATATCAAAGTATAATAAGGATTAAGGACATTGTAGAAAGTACTATTTTGCTGACACAAATTTCTATCCATTTTATTCAACAGAACAAGTTGTTAAATGTAACAAAAAATAACAAAGTAATAAACTTCTTCTTTAAAATAAAATAAAATAAATATAGTTATTGACTAGAGTTATCTTGTTTCAAACAATTGAAACATTCAATTATTGGTCATGTCAATAATCTACTTAAAAGAAATACTGAATTATCACAAATCACTGCTCATCGAGGAAGTACTTCCCGTTGTGTATTTAAATTCACATTTGCATACATTGCACACAGTAATTGTTTTGTCACCCCCAAATTGTCTCTTTGTCTGTCTGTTTCTCTGAGTGTCTCATTGTCTGATTGTTTGTCTGTTTGTCTGTCTGTGTGTCTGATCCTTGCAGTGTCATCTAAATGCATGTTTGTTGCTGTGTCTGTATCTATAAATGTTTGTATGGATGTATGTATCGTTACATGTCTGTCTGTCTGTTAGTCTGTCTCTATGTAAGTATGTATTGTAGATATATATGAATGTATATCTGTTGGTATCTATGGATGGATAGATGTTTGTCAGTTTTTCTGTCTAATTGTCTGTCAATCTGTCTGTCTGTTTGTATGTATGTGAAGCGACGGGGAAAAAAGAAGTACAGGAGAAATGGAACCAAGTCTAAATAGCGGTGTGTGCATATAATGAATTACTTAGACAAGGCATCCATAAGATAAAGAGGAGAAAAGAAAGAAAAATATGAGAGAAATCTCAAAACAAAGAAGAAATAGATGACAGAAAGGAGGGAGATAGATGAGAGAAAATAGGAACCAGTTAAAGATCAAGTAACAAGTATATGTATGTAAGAGATGCATGTAATGTATGCATGTAATGAATGTAAGGAATGTATGTATTTTGTGATTGTAATATAAATATGTTTGTGAGAGATGCATGTTGTGTACTTATGTAATGTATGTAATCTATCTATGCATTGTAGGGAAGGGAGTTGGAGAGAAAAAGGAGAAAGAGCAGAAAAAAACCAGTGAAAGGTGCTTTAGCGAATGAAGAAAATGACCAAGAGAATGTATCAATGTAAGCACCAATGTCTGTCTGTCAGTGTGTTTGTCTGGATGTCTGATCGTCTCCCTGTCTAATTGTTTGTCTTCATCTTTCTGTCTGTCTGTTTGTCTCCCTGTCTGATTGTTTGTCTCTTTCTCTGTTTGTTTGTCTCCCTGTCCGATTGTTTGTCTCTTTGTCTGTCTGTGTGAATGTGTCATTGTCTGACTGTTTGTCTCTTTGACTGTCTGTTTTTCTGATAGTCTCCCTGTCCGATTGTTTGTCTCTTTGTCTGTCTGTCTTTCTGTGTGATTGTGTCATTGTGTGATAGTATGTCTCTTTGTTTGTCTGTCTGTCTGTTTGTCTGTTTGTCTCATTGTCTGATTGTTGTTTGTCTCTTTGTCTGTCTGTTTCTCTGAGTGTCTCATTGTCTGATTGTTTGTCTGTTTGTTTGGCTGTTTGTCTGATCCTTGCAGTGTCATCTAAATGCATGTTTGTTGCTGTGTCTGTATCTATAAATGTTTGTATGGATGTATGTATCGTTACATGTCTGTCTGTCTGTTAGTCTGTCTCTATGTAAGTATGTATTGTAGATACATATGAATGTATATCTGTTGGTATCTATGGATGGATAGATGTTTGTCAGTTTTTCTGTCTAATTGTCTGTCAATCTGTCTGTCTGTTTGTATGTATGTGAAGAGACGGGGGAAAAAAGCAGTACAGGAGAAATGAAACCAAGAAATGCCCAAGGATACTAAGTCTAAATAGCGGTGTGTGCATATAATGAATTATTTAGACAAGGCATCCATAAGATAAAGAGGAGAAAAATATGAGAGAAATCTCAAAACAAAGAAGAAATAGATGATAGAAAGGAGGGAGATAGATGAGAGAAAAGAGGAACCAGTTAAAGATCAAGTAACAAGTATATGTATGTAAGAGATGCATGTAATGTATGTATGTAATGAATGTAAGGAATGTATGTATCTTGTGATTGTAATATAAATATGTTTGTGAGAGATGCATGTTGTGTACTTATGTAATGTATGTAATCTATCTATGCATTGTAGGGAAGGGAGTTGGAGAGAAAAAGGAGAAAGAGCAGAAAAAAACCAGTGAAAGGTGCTTTAGGGAATGAAGAAAATGACCAAGAGAATGTATCAATGTAAGTACCAATGTCTGTCTGTCAGTGTGTTTGTCTGGTTGTCTGATCGTCTCCCTGTCTGATTGTTTGTCTCTTCGTCTTTCTGTCTGTCTGATTGTCGCCCTGTCTGATTGTTTGTCTCTTTGTCTGTCTGTCTGTTTGTCTGTCTGTGTGATTGTCTCATTGTCTGTCTGTTTGTCTCCCTGTCCGATTGTTTGTCTCTTTGTCTGTCTGTGTGAATGTGTCATTGTCTGACTGTTTGTCTCTTTGACTGTCTGTTTTTCTGATAGTTTCCCTGTCCGATTGTTTGTCTCTTTGTCTGTCTGTCTTTCTGTGTGATTGTGTCATTGTGTGATAGCGTGTCTCTTTGTTTGTCTGTCTGTCTGTTTGTCTGATTGTCTCATTGTCTGATTGTTGTTTGTCTCTTTGTCTGTCTGTTTCTCTGAGTGTCTCATTGTCTGATTGTTTGTCTGTTTGTCTGTCTGTTTGTCTGATCCTTGCAGTGTCATCTAAATGCATGTTTGTTGCTGTGTCTGTATCTATAAATGTTTGTATGGATGTATGTATCGTTATATGTCTGTCTGTCTGTTAGTCTGTCTCTATGTAAGTATGTATTGTAGATATATATGAATGTACCTATATTATGAATGGACCTATATTATGAATGTAATGTACACATGTTTGTAAGAGATGCATGTTCTGTACGTATGTTATGTATGTAAAGAATGGACCTATGTTATGAATGTAATGTACGTATGTTTGTAAGAGATGCATGTTCTGTATGTATGTAATGTATGTAAAGAATGGAACTATGTTATGTATTTATTGTACTTATGTTTGTAAGAGATGCATGTTCTGTACATATGTTATGTATGTAAAGAATGGACCTATGTTATGAATGTAATGTACGTATGTTTGTAAGAGATGCATGTTCTGATGTTTGTGTATGTATGTAATGTATGTAAAGAATGGACCTATGTTATGAATGTAATGTACATATGTTTGTAAGAGATGCATGTTCTGTATGTATGTAATGTTTGTAAAGAATGGACCTATGTTATGAATGAATTGTATGCATGTTTGTAAGAGATGCATGTTCTGTATGTATGTTATGTATGTAAAGAATGGATGTATGTTATATATGTATGCATGCATAAATGTATAAAGTGAAATGTTCCTAATGTGGTGAATATGATGTAAAGAATGTCATGTACATAATGCATGAATGTATGCATGTATGTAAAGAATGGACCTATGTTATAAATGTAAAGTACACATGTTTGTAAGAGATGCATGTTCTGTATGTATGTAATGTTTGTAAAGAATAGACCTATGTTATGAATGTAATGTATGCATGTTTGTAAGAGATGCATGTTCTGTATGTATGTAATGTATGTAAAGAATGGACCTATCCTATGAATGTAATGTACGTATGTTTGTAAGAGATGCATGTTCTGTATGTATGTAAAGAATGGACCTATTATGAATGTAATGTACATATGTTTGTGAGATGCATGTTCTGTATGTATGTTATGATTGTAAAGAATGGATGTATGTTATGAATGTAATGTACGTATGAATTGTAGGGAAGGGAGTGAGAGGGAGAGGGGGAGAGGGGAAGATGGACCCAGTGAAAGGGGCTGTGGGGAATTAAGAGAATGACCAAGAGAATGTATCAATGTATATACCTATGTCTGGCAGTCTGTCTGTTTGTCTTATTGTCTGTGTTTGTCTGGTTGTCTGATTGTCTCCCTGTCTGATTGTTTGTCTCTTCGTCTTTCTGTCTGTCTGATTGTCGCCCTGTCTGATTGTTTGTCTCTTTGTCTGTCTGTCTGTTGTCTGTGTGTGATTGTGTCATTGTCTGTCTGTTTGTGTGTCTGTGTTTGTCTGTTTGTCTGTCTGTGTGATTGTGTCATTGTGTGATAGTGTGTCTCTTGTTTGTCTCTTTGTCTGTCTGTCTTTCTGTGTGATTGTGTCATTGTGTGATAGTGTGTCTCTTTGTTTGTCTGTCTGTCTGTTTGTCTGATTGTCTCATTGTCTGATTGTTGTTTGTCTCTTTGTCTGTCTGTTTCTCTGAGTGTCTCATTGTCTGATTGTTTGTCTGTTTGTCTGTCTGTGTGTCTGATCCTTGCAGTGTCATCTAAATGCATGTTTGTTGCTGTGTCTGTATCTATAAATGTTTGTATGGATGTATGTATCGTTACATGTCTGTCTGTCTGTTAGTCTGTCTCTATGTAAGTATGTATTGTAGATACATATGAATGTATATCTGTTGGTATCTATGGATGGATAGATGTTTGTCAGTTTTTCTGTCTAATTGTCTGTCAATCTGTCTGTCTGTTTGTATGTATGTGAAGAGACGGGGGAAAAAGCAGTACAGGAGAAATGGAACCAAGTCTAAATAGCGGTGTGTGCATATAATGAATTACTTAGACAAGGCATCCATAAGATAAAGAGGAGAAAAGAAAGAAAAATATGAGAGAAATCTCAAAACAAAGAAGAAATAGATGACAGAAAGGAGGGAGATAGATGAGAGAAAATAGGAACCAGTTAAAGATCAAGTAACAAGTATATGTATGTAAGAGATGCATGTAATGTATGCATGTAATGAATGTAAGGAATGTATGTATTTTGTGATTGTAATATAAATATGTTTGTGAGAGATGCATGTTGTGTACTTATGTAATGTATGTAATCTATCTATGCATTGTAGGGAAGGGAGTTGGAGAGAAAAAGGAGAAAGAGCAGAAAAAAACCAGTGAAAGGTGCTTTAGAGAATGAAGAAAATGACCAAGAGAATGTATCAATGTAAGTACCAATGTCTGTCTGTCAGTGTGTTTGTCTGGTTGTCTGATCGTCTCCCTGTCTGATTGTTTGTCTCTTCGTCTTTCTGTCTGTCTGATTGTTGCCCTGTCTGATTGTTTGTCTCTTTGTCTGTCTGTCTGTGTGATTGTCTCATTGTCTGTCTGTTTGTCTCCCTGTCTGATTGTTTGTCTCTTTGTCTGTCTGTGTGAATGTGTCATTGTCTGACTGTTTGTCTCTTTGACTGTCTGTTTTTCTGATAGTCTCCCTGCCCGATTGTTTGTCTCTTTGTCTGTCTGTCTTTCTGTGTGATAGCGTGTCTCTTTGTTTGTCTGTCTGTCTGTTTGTCTGATTGTGTCATTGTGTGATAGCGTGTCTCTTTGTCTGTCTGTCTGTCTGTTTATCTGATCGTCTCATTGTCTGATTGTTGTTTGTCTCTTTGTCTGTCTGTTTCTCTGAGTGTCTCATTGTCTGATTGTTTGTCTGTTTGTCTGTCTGTGTCTCTGATCCTTGCAGTGTCATCTAAATGCATGTTTGTTGCTGTGTCTGTATCTATAAATGTTTGTATGGATGTATGTATCGTTATATGTCTGTCTGTCTGTTAGTCTGTCTCTATGTAAGTATGTATTGTAGATATATATGAATGTACCTACATTATGAATGGACCTATAGTATGAATGTAATGTACACATGTTTGTAAGAGATGCATGTTCTGTACGTATGTTATGTATGTAAAGAATGGACCTATGTTATGAATGTAATGTACGTATGTTTGTAAGAGATGCATGTTCTGTATGTATGTAATGTATGTAAAGAATGGATGTTTCTGTATGTATGTATGTTTGTATGCATGTTCTGTATGTATGTAATGTATGTAAAGTGAAATGTTCCTAATGTGGTGAATATGATGTAAAGAATGTATGTAATGTAGAAAGAATGGAATATGTAAATGTTATAAATGTATGTACAATGTTTGTAAGAGATGCATGTTCTGTATGTATGTAATGTTTGTAAAGAATGGATGTATGTATAATATGTAATGTACATAATGTACGTATGTTTGTAAGAGATGCATATTCTGTATGTATGTAAAGAATGGACCTATGTTATGAATGTAATGTACATATGTTTGTAAGAGATGCATGTTCTGTATGTATGTAATGTATGTAAAGAATGGACCTATGTTATGAATGTAATGTACGTATGTTTGTAAGAGATGCATGTTCTGTATGTATGTAATGTATGTAAAGAATGGACCTATGTTATGAATGTAATGTACGTATGTTTGTAAGAGATGCATGTTCTGTATGTATGTTATGATTGTAAAGAATGGATGTATGTTATGAATGTAATGTACGTATGAATTGTAGGGAAGGGAGTGAGGGGGAGAGGGGAAGATGGACCCGGTGAAAGGGGCTGTGGGGAATTAAGAGAATGACCAAGAGAATGTATCAATGTATATACCTATGTCTGGCAGTCTTTCTGTTTGTCTTATTGTCTGTGTTTGTCTGGTTGTCTGATTGTCTCCCTGTCTGATTGTTTGTCTCTTCGTCTTTCTGTCTGTCTGATTGTCGCCCTGTCTGATTGTTTGTCTCTTTGTCTGTCTGTTTGTCTCCCTGTCCGATCGTTTATCTCTTTGTCTGTCTGTGTGAATGTGTCATTGTCTGACTGTTTGTCTCTTTGACTGTCTGTTTTTCTGATAGTCTCCCTGTCCAATTGTTTGTCTCTTTGTCTGTCTGTCTTTCTGTGTGATTGTGTCATTGTGTGATAGTGTGTCTCTTTGTTTGTCTGTCTGTCTGTTTGTCTGATTGTCTCATTGTCTGATTGTTGTTTGTCTCTTTGTCTGTCTGTTTCTCTGAGTGTCTCATTGTCTGATTGTTTGTCTGTTTGTCTGTGTGTGTGTCTGATCCTTGCAGTGTCATCTAAATGCATGTTTGTTGCTGTGTCTGTATCTATAAATGTTTGTATGGATGTATGTATCGTTACATGTCTGTCTGTCTGTTAGTCTGTCTCTATGTAAGTATGTATTGTAGATACATATGAATGTATATCTGTTGGTATCTATGGATGGATAGATGTTTGTCAGTTTTTCTGTCTAATTGTCTGTCAATCTGTCTGTCTGTTTGTATGTATGTGAAGAGACGGGGGAAAAAGCAGTACAGGAGAAATGGAACCAAGTCTAAATAGCGGTGTGTGCATATAATGAATTACTTAGACAAGGCATCCATAAGATAAAGAGGAGAAAAGAAAGAAAAATATGAGAGAAGATAAAGAGGAGAAAAGAAAGAAAAATATGAGAGAAATCTCAAAACAAAGAAGAAATAGATGACAGAAAGGAGGGAGATAGATGAGAGAAAAGAGGAACCAGTTAAAGATCAAGTAACAAGTATATGTATGTAAGAGATGCATGTAATGTATGCATGTAATGAATGTAAGGAATGTATGTATTTTGTGATTGTAATATAAATATGTTTGTGAGAGATGCATGTTGTGTACTTATGTAATGTATGTAATCTATCTATGCATTGTAGGGAAGGGAGTTGGAGAGAAAAAGGAGAAAGAGCAGAAAAAAACCAGTGAAAGGTGCTTTAGAGAATGAAGAAAATGACCAAGAGAATGTATCAATGTAAGTACCAATGTCTGTCTGTCAGTGTGTTTGTCTGGTTGTCTGATCGTCTCCCTGTCTGATTGTTTGTCTCTTCGTCTTTCTGTCTGTCTGATTGTCGCCCTGTCTGATTGTTTGTCTCTTTGTCTGTCTCTTTGTCTGTCTGTCTGTTTGTCTGTCTGTGTGATTGTCTCATTGTCTGTCTGTTTGTCTCCCTGTCCGATTGTTTGTCTCTTTGTCTGTCTGTGTGAATGTGTCATTGTCTGACTGTTTGTCTCTTTGACTGTCTGTTTTTCTGATAGTCTCCCTGTCCAATTGTTTGTCTCTTTGTCTGTCTGTCTTTCTGTGTGATTGTGTCATTGTGTGATAGCGTGTCTCTTTGTTTGTCTGTCTGTCTGTTTGTCTGATTGTCTCATTGTCTGATTGTTGTTTGTCTCTTTGTCTGTCTGTTTCTCTGAGTGTCTCATTGTCTGATTGTTTGTCTGTTTGTCTGTCTGTGTGTCTGATCCTTGCAGTGTCATCTAAATGCATGTTTGTTGCTGTGTCTGTATCTATAAATGTTTGTATGGATGTATGTATCGTTATATGTCTGTCTGTCTGTTAGTCTGTCTCTATGTAAGTATGTATTGTAGATATATATGAATGTACCTATATTATGAATGGACCTATATTATGAATGTAATGTACGTATGTTTCTAAGAGATGCATGTTCTGTACGTATGTTATGTATGTAAACAATGGACCTATGTTATGAATGTAATGTAGGTATGTCTGTAAGAGATGCATGTTCTGTATGTATGTAATGTATGTAAAGAATGGACCTATGTTATGAATGTAATGTATGCATGTTTGTAAGAGATGCATATTCTGTATGTATGTAATGTATATAAAGAATGGAATGTATGTTATGATAATGTACATGTTTGTAAGAGATGCATGTTCTGTATGTATGTAATGTATGTAAAGAATATACCTATCTTATGTATGTAAAGAATGGATGTATGTTATATATGTATGCATGCATAAATGTATAAAGTGAAATGTTCCTAATGTGGTGAATATGATGTAAAGAATGTCATGTACATAATGCATGAATGTATGCATGTATGTAAAGAATGGACCTATGTTATAAATGTAAAGTACACATGTTTGTAAGAGATGCATGTTCTGTATGTATGTAATGTTTGTAAAGAATGGACCTATGTTATGAATGAAATGTATGCATGTTTGTAAGAGATGCATGTTCTGTATGTATGTAATGTATGTAAAGAATGGACCTATCCTATGAATGTAATGTACGTATGTTTGTAAGAGATGCATGTTCTGTATGTATGTAAAGAATGGACCTGTTATGAATGTAATGTACATATGTTTGTGAGATGCATGTTCTGTATGTATGTTATGATTGTAAAGAATGGATGTATGTTATGAATGTAATGTACGTATGAATTGTAGGGAAGGGAGTGAGAGGGAGAGGGGAAGATGGACCCAGTGAAAGGGGCTGTGGGGAATTAAGAGAATGACCAAGAGAATGTATCAATGTATATACCTATGTCTGGCAGTCTTTCTGTTTGTCTTATTGTCTGTGTTTGTCTGGTTGTCTGATTGTCTCCCTGTCTGATTGTTTGTCTCTTCGTCTTTCTGTCTGTCTGATTGTCGCCCTGTCTGATTGTTTGTCTCTTTGTCTGTCTGTCTGTTTGTCTGTCTGTGTGATTGTCTCATTGTCTGTCTGTTTGTCTCCCTGTCCGATTGTTTGTCTCTTTGTCTGTCTGTGTGAATGTGTCATTGTCTGACTGTTTGTCTCTTTGACTGTCTGTTTTTCTGATAGTCTCCCTGTCCGATTGTTTGTCTCTTTGTCTGTCTGTCTTTCTGTGTGATTGTGTCATTGTGTGATAGCATGTCTCTTTGTTTGTCTGTCTGTCTGTTTGTCTGATTGTCTCATTGTCTGATTGTTGTTTGTCTCTTTGTCTGTCTGTTTCTCTGAGTGTCTCATTGTCTGATTGTTTGTCTGTTTGTCTGTCTGTGTGTCTGATCCTTGCAGTGTCATCTAAATGCATGTTTGTTGCTGTGTCTGTATCTATAAATGTTTGTATGGATGTATGTATCGTTACATGTCTGTCTGTCTGTTAGTCTGTCTCTATGTAAGTATGTATTGTAGATACATATGAATGTATATCTGTTGGTATCTATGGATGGATAGATGTTTGTCAGTTTTTCTGTCTAATTGTCTGTCAATCTGTCTGTCTGTTTGTATGTATGTGAAGAGACGGGGGAAAAAGCAGTACAGGAGAAATGAAACCAAGAAATGCCCATGGATACTAAGTCTAAATAGCGGTGTGTGCATATAATGAATTATTTAGACAAGGCATCCATAAGATAAAGAGGAGAAAAGTAAGAAAAATATGAGAGAAATCTCAAAACAAAGAAGAAATAGATGATAGAAAGGAGGGAGATAGATGAGAGAAAATAGGAACCAGTTAAAGATCAAGTAACAAGTATATGTATGTAAGAGATGCATGTAATGTATGCATGTAATGAATGTAAGGAATGTATGTATTTTGTGATTGTAATATAAATATGTTTGTGAGAGATGCATGTTGTGTACTTATATCC